AGTCAGAGTCTATAATGCTACTTTCCAACGGGGTTTGTATGATTTTGGATTCCGAGGCTACGCGAACTCCAACCTTGAAAAGGTCTTTAGCAAAACTGGGCAGGCCTGTCGTCCTTGCTTTAAGTGATTTTATAGTCAGCCCATATGAAACGGCTGACATTTCGTCGCTGGGCTGGCACCTCAGCCTGTATTTTCACACCTACACATTTACCATTTTTTCGCATGCACACCTGAATGTCCATCTCTTCCTGCCCTCTCCATGACTCCACCACAGGCTATCGCTAGACCGAGTCCTTCACAAACTGGCTCCCGGCTTCAGAAGGGCTCGCATCCAAACCATCTGATGACCACTTTGGCATGGCTACCCCACGCTTGGCCACACGCCGATGCCGCCGGAATCCTGGCCGCAGGTCTAATGCAGCATCTGGCCAATGCGCATCCGGTAAGATTCTCGGATAGAGGAGAGGGAGGCGACTGTAGCACACATTACTTCTTAATTAACCTTACAATTATGCATTTTAGAAATCTCCTCTCTATAAACCACTCATAAATAAAGTATGCCTGATGCAAATGTACTTTTGCTCACTTATACATTTATTTTAATTATTTGATATATTTAAAAAATATATATATATACAAATATATGATAAGAAGTTCCAGATGATAGTAAAAACAGCATATATATATATATGCGATCCTTTATTTTGACAACATATTAATTCAAAAGTCGTATGATATGAATATAACTACAAAATATGTATAAATATATACATGATATTTTTATTTATTTGATTGATATCAATATATATATCACCTTTATATTTATGTGACAAATATACTTATTGTTCACTTGCATATTTTTTATAATTATTGCGATACATATGTAAAAAAAAATAAAAATAAAATATCTAAATATATATATGCATATGTAATATGCATGTTTATCCTTAATTATATTTATATGATAATAATTGTAGTAATATAACATTATAATTTTTATAACTTTCCTCACATCAGTATATTATATAATTATATGAATATATATATATATATATATACTACATATGCATCTATATACTAGATATTTTTATTTTTATATTTATTAAATATGTATCAAAATTATTATAAATATATATATATATCCTCATATAATTAGATAATATACTGATTTGAGAAAAGTTATATAAATAATACTGTTATATTGTTAGTATTATTATCAGATAATTATAATTATAGTGAAATATGTATATTACATATGCATCTATATATTTAGATTTTTTATTTTTATTTTTTTTACATAAGTATATTTGCCACATAAATATAAATTTGATATATATGTATATATATCAAGCAAATAAATAAAAATATTGCGTATATTTTTATACATATCTTGAAGTTATATTTATAGTATACGACTTGAATTAATATATTGTCAAAA